TTGATACATGCATACACACATACAAACATGCAAGCATACATGCAGCCATCCGTCCGTCCGTCCGTCCATCCAACCACCAACCAACCAGCCAGCCAGCCAGCCAACCAACCAACCATACATACACATACCTACATACCTACATACCTACATACATACCTACATACCTGCATACCTACATACCTACATACATACATACATACAGACATACATACATACATACAGGGAATCATTCTGGGTCCCTTCGCATCCCAGACTCTTTCCCTTCGCTTGACAGGAGGCTTTGCGCGAAGAGGTGTTTCGGGTCTTGGGCCCTTCTGCGCACTTCACCCGCGACAAGCTGTCGGAGATGCCATACTTGAAGGCCGGGGTCATGCATAGGTGTCCTTTTGGGTTGGTTTGCTTAAAAAATTGAGCTTAGATGGGGTTTATTACCCATTTACCAGGGAAACCCATCTATTTTCCCAAAAGGCCGTTTTGGGGTCGTGTTTTCAGCGGGGCTCAGAAGCATCGGCCTCAGGCTTGGGCCCTGGACTCTAGATCCCCCGTGGCGGCAAGAAATTGCAGCGAGGCGCCTTCATCTGAAGGCTAAGCCAGATGCTTCCATTTGCTCAATGTGTTGTGACTTTCTGTTGGTGATACAGGGAATCTATCACTATCTATCATAGGAAAGATATGTTTTCCCAGGGGGCTTAAGCAAATGGTGGTTGATTCCGTGGGTTCCATACCAACCTAAATCCTTACGCCGGATGCATTCATTATGATTCATATCCACTTGTTCTTTCTTAGCTGGGATGGCAACAGACAGACGGCTGAGGCACGCACAAAGCTGTTTCACATTTGGGTGTGTCTGTTTTTCGGGGACCCCACCCCACCCACAAAAAGTGGTGGTTGTCACCTTTGGGTTCCCTTCAACCCGGCAAAAAAAGGGGTCCCCCGAAAAAGGGTGGTTTTCATGTTGGGTTCCTTTAAAACCAACAACCAAAGGCCACACAAAACGAGCGACCCATTTTGTTTTTGTTCAACCCAACGCAAGCCGTGTGCCGTGCCGAAGCTTGGGTCAAACCTTCGATGGCCAGTTCTCGCACTAATCTTCACTCTTTTCACTTCCTGCGTTTCCGGGCTGTATACTTCTAAGTCCCCCAGTAGTGCCCTTTCTCACCCCTTTTTGGGGGGAGGGTTCCCCTGCTAAAATAGACCACAGAAAGAAGGGTACCCTTATTCTAACCTGTGTACTGGACCTAGACTTTGTGGCAGGCTCCACCCACAACTTCTCAGGCAGACCGAAGGACACGTTCAGACCGCAGGAAAAATCGTGGACCTGGCGCACATTGGTTCGTTGGTTCAACCGGAAGACCACTTTAAGGGCCAACAAACAGTTCTGACTTTTCGTTGGCCAATCCACTCGGGAAGTGAGTCTTAGAACCCTGGTCCATTTACAGGGGAGTTGGGGAACTTTGCACAAGGCTCTCATGAGGGAGACCCACCGCTTCAGCATGCCGTCCACCCTCTTGACTTACCGCTTTTTGGACGAAGATGTGGCGCTCTGTGGCTACAACGTGCCAGCAGGCAAGGCCGGGGATGGCGAGCCCGGAGCTCGGGTGAAATTCGGCGTGAAATGTACATGCTTGGGTCAGGGGCATGTAGGTCAATTGGTCGTTTCCATGGGCGAAAATGATGCAAGAACACAAGAAGTGATGGAGCTGAAGGACTCATGGGTGAAAAGGACGGAAAAGGTTCGAAAGGGACTGGGGAGAGTAAAAGTGATTGAAAAATGGCACATGTCCATCCTAGCTGTAGGGAAACGACCAAGCAGTTGCGGGCCTAACCCCGTTTAGAGCTTGGATCGCTGCGTCGGTTTGCATCCGCGGGAAGGCATGGCAGGAAATGGCAGTGGGTCAAAACGCCCGGTGGTTCGGTTTACACCCAGCAAGCCGTCCAAAAAGACAACCGTGGTGTGGTAGCCATCCCCGAAAAGGCACCTTAGGTTTTGAGCCGCAACCATAGGGCACTGATATCTTGGGCACTGGGATTATTTTTGCCAAGTAGGGAATGAGACATGGAATGAACCCAAGGAGGACACCGCCAGTTGGATGGTCATTTGCTGGTTGTTTCCATCTATAGCCTTCCCCAGAATTAGTTCCCCTTTTGATGGGTTTTTGCTTTTTTGAAATTCCATTTGTTTTCCACGAACCAGGCAAAACAATCTTTTTTTGCTGGGGTCCTAATTCCAGCCAAGTAGCCAACCAGGGTTACAACTCCCAGGGGTGCTGGAAACCCGCGTCGCCGGTGTTTGGCCATTTTTGAACACATACAGACCCACACACGTGTGTTTGGGTGACAGTATACGTATATATATATACATGTATCTATATATATATATCTAGTAGCATCTGTTTATATGTTATATGGATATTTATATATATAAACATATATATATATATACACATATATATATATATATACATATAGAAAGGAGTGTCCCCGTTCTTCAGGCTCATCTCATAATCTCCCTGAGTTAGCTTCAAGCCTTTCAGGCCTGAACCAACCTCAGCCAACAAATCCACTCTAAACCCAAAAACCAACCCTAACCCTGAAGAAGGTAAACAAACCCAAGCGAATCCAAGCGACTCCTTCGCCAAGCCTAAAGCTATGCAGAACCAAACACCAAGCCCTAAACTGAACCAATGTCCGCTTCCAGTCCACATGGACTCCATCGGCCAAACTTTACCAACCCGAAGTCCATAAACCAATCTTATTCCTGCTTATCCAAAGCGCCCTTTCCTAGTGGTTCCCCTGACTACCTGAAAAGGGCACCAAGCAACCAAACGCGGGCTGAGACACAAGGGAGTCTCTCAAACTGGTGGACCCCCGTTTGGTTGGTATAGAAGGAGACGGCCAACCATTTTGGAGCCCCTGAGGGACGCGCATCATGATGATGTCCGAGGGGCTGCAGAGTGACCCAGAGCTGGTGGAGGATCCCGAGGAGTTCCGACCAGAACGGTTTCTGCCGGAGGCGGACTCGCGGGTTTTGAAGTGAGCTCGCATTGAGGGCTCCTTGTACATTGGTTTTGGTCCATTTGGGTGGCTGGACTTTTTCTCATGGTGCCCCAGGTTTGGGGCTGGTGTTTTTAATAGGAAACCAAGAAGACCATCACCATTTTCGCGGGGTGCCCTGAAACAAGACGCATGGCCTCCAAAGAGTGCATTTTCGGCCTGACCACGCCATCCATGACCATGTGGACCCTGCTTGAAGATGAGAATGAAGCCATGGGGCATGAAGCATGCTTGTGTCTCGTAGGGTGGGTCTCTTTCAGTACGCAGGGTGCCGACCAACTTGTTCAACATACAACTCTATTGTTGAACGCAAATGGAGGCTAACCAGCCTCCTTCTGGCTAAGAGTACCAGTTGGTTTAAACATATACGTATTGCCCCAGTCTAGCAGTTCCAAGAAACCAGCAGGACATTCTAGTTTCGGAAAGCACTGGTTTTTGGTATTTGGTTAACTTTCTGTAGAGTTTTCTGTTGACTTCTGTGAGAAGTGAGGGCAAGCAGCCATGTTCCGGAGGCAGTGCAGGCGCGCAAGAGCGACCCCTTGAAGTCCTTGATAGAGCCTCGAGCTGCACGTGGGCGAATGGGCGAAGCGCATGGTGGAAAAGTCATGCAGACCCCAAGAAAACACACTAACACAACTATATATAAGGGTGGGTTTTTTAGAGGGTTCACTTTAGGGTCGTTTTAAAGGGGAACTACCAGGAACAGTACCCTTCTCGTTTTTTTCCCCAACAGCTGAAAGCGTTGGGGTCTCAGCCCAGGCTCCGCGGTGGTCCGGGGCGGGATATCACCTGAGCTTATTTTTTGAGGGGGTCCCAACCAAAAGACAACCCACCCTTAGGGCTCCTGAGAGCTTGACATCGTGACCATGCCTTGTCAGAGCTAAGGACCACAAGCTCTTGGGCACGCCTTTTAGCTTCGGGGCCCGGATGTGCCTGGGGGCGCGCTTGGCGGACATGGAGATCATGACGCTCCTGGCGAAGTTCACCGCCAGCTTCGACTTCCAGGTGGCGCCCAACCAGCGCCTCAGATTCGTTTGAAGGTTCTCGGAAAGTTTTAGGTGGGGACCACCTAAGGTGGACAGAGGGTGGGGGCCAACCAATTGCTTCAACGTGAACTTAGCCAGTTCTAGACAAAGGTTTTAGATGAAGGTTTAAGCCATTTTAGCTGATGAAGGTGAGTAAGGGGTAGTGTTTGAGCCGGGGATGCTTTAGTGCACAGAGGGGCTTCATATCCACCCATCCCATTCCCATCCCATGAGTTTCACCGGATGGATCTTGGTTTTCCATAGATGTGTGCCATGTTCCTTCAAGGAATGTTCAGTCAAGTTCCAAGGATTCTTAGATGAATTGTGTGAATCAACCTGGACGGAACCCTTGTGGTTTGGGGAGGGGTCCTACTTGAAGGGCCAATCCACATTGGCAGTAGGCGAGTTGTAACATGACTCATAAGTAGCGCAGCGCATGTTATAACCAGGGCAAGTCTACTTGCAAACCAACTTTATACTTTGTAAGTAGCACTATCTATACTTATTGTCTATTTTGACTCATAACTCGCACGGCTCATCAAGTATGTTTGGAGGTAAACTCACTTAGAGCCGAAGCTGTGCTTTCCCGAGCATACCGTTCAGCAGATCCCAACACACGGACGTGGGTGGCGTGAGACAAGCCATGATGGCTGCTTATTCAATTCCAATGCTTTGTGTCCGCACAGCGGGCTTGCCCCATGCTCACAAACATTGCTGCCGTTGCCGTGCGTCTCTGGACGCACGGCAGAGAGAGAGAGAGAGAGACGGATCACAGAGAGAAAGGTAGTGGCCTAGCAAGGCTTGAAACCCAGGGCATTTCCTGTACCAAGGGATTCCTTTTTGTGATGAAGTCCTGGGATTGACCCAGGGTGTCACAGATTTGGGAGCGCATGAGGCAGGCGGAGGGGGGTTTGCAATAAGGAGTTGGGAGAAGGTCTCGAAGACCATGGCAGCACCGGAGCCCACGCCGAAGGCTGGCCATTTGGGGAAACAGGATGCCAAGACAAGGGTACAGGACCTCCTGGTATTTTGAGTGGTATTTAGCTTGCTGGTGCTCAGCAGAAAATGAGAAATGGAATGACCCCTATAAAGAGGTGCGAAACCATCCGTTGTCTCCTCCAAAACGCGTTGGGGAATTATAGCTTTGCTGTGCCAGAGAATGAGTCGACCCCAAGCTGAACCATCCAACAGGTGGTTTCCTTTCGGGAATCCCAAGCGGTTTATTCTCACAACCCCTGCTGAGCCCCTAAGAACCAGCAAGTTTACACCCCGGTTGAGTGGGTTTAGCTGTGGGTATTATCCGCCACTCAGAAGGTGGTCATCCTCCCCTTAAGGGAACCAAATTGGGAAAGCCAGCGTGCAAGAATTGCTGAGGGAACTCCTTTGAGCCAATGGTCAAAATGGGGGGGTGAACAATGGAGGATGAAGCCATCGTTTTCAACTAGGGTCAGCCCTGAAGGTGATCTTCCGACCGCGTTGAGCACCGATGATGAGGCATGCGGCATGCCGGATGATTGCCAAAAGAGCTCCCTTTCATTCGAAGCATGGATCATCCATGAATCACCCTCGCGTCATGCTGGTTTGTGTCGGTCCACCTGTCACCTCCCACTGTCGGACGGGCCAAAAGGCCAAAATGACAGGTTTGGCTTCAAGTGTCAGTGACCCTGGTTTTCAGAAAGCTCCGTGTCTGTTGACAAACAGGACAGGCTCCGTACATGGTTAGTAACCGTGGTTGTGGACTTGCAACCATTGCAATTGGTTTTTACTCACCACTTGCAAAGTACCCAGCTTCTTCGAGGGAATTAACTCCATTTTGAACAAAATTATGAGGGACTAGAATATTAGAATGGGAGATCATGGGTAAATAGTAAGCCGGGCAGTTTCAATCATTCTTTGTATTTGTTAGGAATTTGTCCTGTTGGGTTTGGAATGGATCCGTCCCAGACGGGCACGCCCAAGGATCCTCGCCATTTCTTCAACAGCTTGGTTTGCTGTCCGGCTCAACTGGAGGCACGTTGTGGGCTTTGCCTCAGCCCCTAGCTAGCGTATTGAGCGGTATCCCAAATATAATCTATATATATATATATAATCTATATGTATATATATATATATATATGGGGACTCATTCATGTATGAAGCGCCACGTTTTTCCTAGCTGGGTGTGCGGGTATGTATCCCCCTTTGCTCAATTGTGTAACTCGGGACATGGGGTGTCTGAGTGTCTCCTAGAACAGAATCCCCAGCCCACCCCCCCTTCGTGACCGGTGAACCCAAAAACGTCCAATTCTTTTCCTACCGAACCGGGTCGCTGGTTGCAACTGGGCTTCAAGCCCCAAAGGTTCCCACTTCCCCCCTTCCCCATGCCCCCTGAGTTCCTTCAAAGGCCTTTTGCCGCTGCCCGGCAGTTGGCGTCGTTTTTTTGTTGTTTTTCTTTCTTTTCGGAGCGGTTGAATCCTTGACAGGAACATCCCTGCTACGCGGCGGCTAGCGAATGCCATGTGAGGGTCTAGCACGAATTTTGGGCTGGAGCCCTTGGGCTCCTTCGTTGACAGACCCACCCTGTAAGACTTTGAGCGTGACTTCAGGATGTTCACACCAGTTTCGACCCGGGTTGCGGGATCAAGGGGTTTTTCCCTGCTTCTGTGGTACAAGGGAATCTCCCCCTTTATATAGGGGGTAGTGGGGGGTGAGCCTTTGGGAAGCCTTGTTTGATACATTACAAAAGTGGTCGTTTCCCACAGTCATGGTCTTGAAAAGCTAAATCGTGACAGGCGGTGCAGGGATGTTTAGCAGAAGGATTGAATGTAGCACTTGCTCAGCAGGATGCTCATTTGGGTGAATTCTTTTTGGTTTTCCTTAGAACTCCCAAAGCAATGTCTCATTTGTCGTTTAGAGTTGCGTGCCACAGATTCTGACATATGGGGTCGCGGGTGAAGAAGAGACCACGCGGTCTTGGCTCCTATCCTGATTCCTGGGCGAAGGAGCCACGGAGCATCCAGTGTGCTGCTTGTCCGGATTGGATGCTCAGCATGTTTTGAAGGGCTGCTCGTCCGGATCGGATTGCAAGGCAGACTTTTCCTTTGGGACGCGGAAACGGGCCAGAAGGGTTCAATTGGCAGAAGCCAAGCGGCCCAACAAGCCGAACGTGCTGAAATGTGTAACCATGAGCACAAAACAAAAACACTCAGCGACCCCTTTCCGCGACCCCCTGCTACAGGCGAAACCAAGAACCTTCGCTGAGCGAAACCTTTTCTCTACCGGCTTCTCCCTTTGAGGGGGCGTGGTGAGCAGCAGTCAAAATGGATCTGGTGGTCCCACGCTGCCATGTCGCGACACTTTCTTGAGGTTATGCGAGCTTGCTTCCCTTGTGCCTTGGGTCGACCTGAAAACCTCTTGGCACCTTGTGGCCGTGCCAAGCAACTATCAAACCTGAGATGAGTTGATTTGTACTTGGAGCGTGTCCATCTCAGACATAGAAGCAGAAAGCTTGTAAGGTCTTTGTAGGGTCGGGACGGGTGCTTCCTTGCTCAGGGGAACCCACTCGGTGAGGCGGGCGCGATTGCCTTAGTAGGGGGAGGAACAAGGTAGGAGCCCGCCATCCACCGCCGAGATCGACCAACCCTTTCTCTAGTTTTAGTGCCGGGGCACTCTGTCCCGACCAGCCGGAAGCTCCCCGAAGGCCTCCAGCAGAGCCTTCCAAGTCCTGGGGGAACCAACTCAAAGCGCTTGAGCTTGTCAGGCTAGCATTAAAGCTCCCCGAAGGCCTTGGTAAAAGGAGCCAAGTCTTCCAAGTTCTGGGAGTTTCCACGTTTGTCTGGAACGAACTCAAGGCGCAGCTTGTTGTAAAGGCCGCGGGTTTCACGGCCCAAGATCCACCCGACAGCCCCCGCTTTCCTTCCGCCGCGGGCTGCGAATGGCGTCGCCGCTGCGGCGCTCGTCGGTGGAAGCGCTGAAGTTGGGCTTTGATGGTGTCAAGGCGGGGGGCTGGGGGGGGGGGGCGGGGGGGGGCTTGGTTTCGTTGGTCCAAAGGGAATCGTTGGCTTCAAAAGACCGTTTGCTTTGAAGGTTTCTGGTTACGGGACCAAAGAAGGAAGCTTTTGATTTCTGCTTGCCTTCTTGGGGCAAGGTAGATTGCAAGGTTTCATCTTGCCCTCTACCAGCAAAGAGGACCCTTTTTAACCTGGACTCCTCCACAAGAGGACCTTCCCCTGCCGTGGTTTACGTCTTCGCGTGCGAGATCTGAGACCCCGGAGGTTGGCAGTTGCGCGGAGAACAAAAACTTCGCACGGTGATTTTCCAGTCGCGAGTCATTTCAAAGGGTTGCGGTGCAGGAAACTCAAGCAGCTTATTTCATTTCCTGTAGATTGTCTTTTACCCAAACCCTTTGATCATTAGCACGCTTCAAGGGTGCTGAGGCATGCGTCCGAATCTTCCTGCTCAGCGACGCTTTTGAACGATGCTCCGCACTGGCGCGCAATGTTTCCCGACGCTTCTGAACGCAACGTGGGCAACCAGTCAACCCTTGGCAAATCGCCCACATGCCCCTCAACATCCCCCCCCCCTTGCGCAGCTCATTGTGACTGTTTGGGTTGTACACCGCTTCAGGGCCCCGAGGTGGGCTTTTTCAAGCTTTTTCGTGGTGCTTGAGCGCTTATTTTGCCATTGTTTAGGGAGTGCTCTCGACCTTCTTCAAGCAACAATCTTAGCAACAAGTCAGGGAGACGGATGCTTTTGCGTGGCACTTTTGAGTGTCAATCGGGCAGAGATGCCAAGGAATACTTCTCAGCGATGCTTCCAGCAGCTGTTTGCGCAACATGTTTGAGCGAGCTGGTTGGTTCACAGCAACAAACAAACAATCCCCGAAACACCCACCAGGCAACCCACCCGCCCACCTACCCGCGCATGCACGCAGTACCATCATGCTTTGCTGTTGAGCACCGGGGTGCGCAGCACGTGTAGGGCAAGTTTTCCAGCAAGTCCTTCCAGCAGCAACTCTGAGCCATGCTTTTGCGCACGATGTCGCACCTTCCAGCCCCCCTGAGCCGTGGCTTCGGGACTCACGACTCACAAGTTGTGTCGAGGTGCAGCCCTTCTCTGAAATTCCGGGGCCGAAGTTTCCTGCACCTCGGCAAAGAATGGCATTGCCGGGGTGGGTCAGCAGGGCTTGCTTTGCTGGTTTGGATTTAGGTTTTTCGGGCTGTCCACGCATGGAGATTCCCTTTTCCTGGCCCCGAGAACTAGGGGCTTGATAAGCCGGGGCAAAGAAAGCGAAAGGCCAGCTGGCCATGACAGTTGGGTTTGGGTGTTCTTTGGTTGTGTCCTTAGTTGCGAGTGTGGGAAATGCTCCAGTTTGCTCATTCCGGCCTGCCCACCTCTTCTGCCCAAGTCGTTTGGCTTTCGTTCAGTGCTGTGAGCGGGAGTCCCACTTTCATTCTACCGTAAACCAAGCTTCTCCACATGATTCGTTACAGCTATGCTGTTCAAATGAACAGAAATTCAAAGGCCCGCTTCAATTCCAAGGCTTGTTTCACAGAGGTTTAACTCCAACGTTATTGTTCGCATCATGGTTATCAACTGACCTGTATGTTCGCCTGCTGTTTTGCTGGACTGGAACATTGACGGCCCATGCGCATGGTGCTCCGCCTCCGGGTGCCTCATTGCCATCCCTTGGGCAGATGCGACGCCGGAGTTGGTTTGCGCGTGCTCCTGGGATCCGATGGATCTACGCACATAAATTCTGCGCCAGTTTCATAGAACACCGTCTTGCCCTTTGGGCGGACACCCTCCGCTTAAAACATAATCACTAAGTTCCGTAGAGTGGAACATGTCTTTTTTGTTCAAGGAGAGACCCTTAGCACAACCTGCTTTTTCGTTCAAGGAGAAACCCTTAGCAAAACCAGTTAACTCTAGAGTGCGAACATGTTTTTTGTTTCAACAAATTCTCCACTCCAGGAGGTCCCCCGAAATCACTTAAGAATCACGCAGGTGCTCGGCGCCCTTCCCACGTTTCTGTCCTACGGCTTCAGGAAGTCGCATAGCTTCTACAAGGCGAGCGAATCAAAAGGGAGATTCACCCTCGGTTTTCCCTATTTGTTTCCCCACTAAAATCGTCTACCCCCAAACAGTTTTGGTTTCTTCGGCCTCACTTTTTGCCTTTTCTGCCCCCAAACAGTTTTGGTTTCTTCGGCCTCACTTTTTGCCTTTTGGCTGGACCCGAAAGCAGTTTGGCCGAAGAAGAAGGGGACGCTCGCCAAAAGGCAAATGCCAATCGGAGCGAGCGGAAGTGCGGAGGCTTGAGGTCAAGGGCTCGTTGAAATCCGTTCAAATGTATATCGCTAGGGGAGGTATGGTATCTACCTGCCCTGTTCAAAGGCAATCCTTACTCCTTACCTTTTAGTTCGAATATGGCCCCCTTTGTAGTTGTTTCCCAATAGGGATTAAGGATTGGGATTGGCCAACTCTCCACTTTGAACAGGCCAGTCTACCACTTACAAGGGGTCTATATTGTGTTGCAAGCTTATATTCATGGTATACAAGCATCCATACCTTCAAAACCGCCAAAACCCGCACCTGAACATTCCCTGGATGAGAGGGCCGCAAAAAAGGCACAAGAAAAAGCCAGACCGGACAGGACAGGATGGGCTTCTGCCGGGATCCCAAACATGAAGACGCTAGCTCGCGTTTTCTTGCGGAAGATGCTCGAAAGAAATTAGCTCTTTTAGTACGAACCCAACTGGAGCAGAGATGGCTGCTATGCAACAAATCTGGTGGTTTATCACTGAGATCCTTGAGTTTCCCTTTGGGGCCCCAATAAATTGAATTCCACTTATACACGTCGTTTTTTTTCAACAGGGTCTGCTCTTAGGTGTTTTAACCCGGCGTTGCGTCAAAAGACGGTGGCAGGGCGGTGGAAGCTTTTGGACAACCCGAAAGGTCCTGGAAATCATGGACCCACCCAATTCCGTTTCGGCATCGGGCTGCGTCCAGGTCTCCCGGATTCGGAGAAGCCCCAAGCCAACGAAAAACACAGAACGCACTTGGCGCGTAAGTCTTTGGGACCGCGGCAAGGGCATATTCCAAAACTGGTTTTGTGAGTCGTGAAACTGGTTCCATGTGTTGCGTTGTGTTATAAACATATTTGACAGCAGGAAAGGACAACCGCCTTGAGTTCGAAAGGGCAGCAAGGAAGCAGGCGACCAGCCGACCGACCAGTGAGCAGGATTTTGTCCTCTCACAAATTCATTGCGTACTTGTGCTCCTTAAGAGTGTATGGCCAATTATTTAAAGTGTGCCAATCGATTTTCCGTATGTTTGTTTGGTTCAGTGGGTTCTGGCTTCCGCCAAACCACTGGCATAGAAGTTAATTATGTCCATTATGTTGCTTCTGTCCAAGTTAGGTGTTGTTACTAGAAGGGCCTCACCAGAAAAAGCGGCTGAAACGGGTGGGATTATGGCGGGATTGGCCAAAGGAACAGAACCTTTGTTTGTCTGTTTGTTTGTTTGTTTGTTTTCTTTGGGGGGGTCAAAAGGTTGGGTTGCCTTATCAAAACGAGGGGCTGGGGGGGCAAAGGTTTTTGACCAGCAGGACCTCTACAAGCAGTACGGGCCCATTGTGGATACCTCCATCCTCAGCGACCCCGCGGTGATGGTTTCCGACCCCCGGGAGTGGCGGAAGGTCTTCCAGCGAGAGGGCAGGCGATCGGGCGGGAAAAAGCCGGCCTTTTGGACCGGTTGGTTTTTCCTGGGCTCGGTCTACTTCCATTTGGTTAAGAATTATTTTCCCCTGTTAGTTTTGAAGGGAATCCATCACTACTGGAAATATGTTTTTTGAAGGGGACTTAAGTAAATGGAGGTCTACTTTTGGTCGAGGTCCCTGTAACCCTGTTATTTTTGTGTCCTTCCTTCGGGCAACTGAGCTTGCGCTCTGGCCATTGTTTTGATGGCCAACGATAGGAATCTGGAAGGCGCAAGTCTCTTCTTCCCCATTCGCGTGAGCAACTCTGGGCCCTGGCAGGTACCCCAAGGGCATCGTAGCTCGGCCATTGGACCGTCGGAGGAGTCGGCAGCGGGCGAACTTTTGGTCAGCTGCGGATTCGATTCCTCGTACGCCTGAAGACACACATGGCGCAAATGGATTTGGAGCATCTTGCGCTCGCTGCGGACGCACACGCAATCTTTTTGGGCGGGCTTATCCGCTGGCACAAGCAGCTTTCAAACAAGCCCCTTCCGGCGTCGTTCGATGGAATCTATGAAGCATTAAGTTGCTCAACTAAGACTTCCTTTCAAAGGCCAAATGAAAGGCTGGATTATAGCCAGCTCGGGCCATGTCGTTCAGATGTCCGGCGGGTGAGGTCATGAGCTGATGTCTTTGCTGTTTTGCTTCCGCTGTTAGAACCAACCCCGAAAGGGTCCCCTTGTTTAAAACGTGCACCGGCAATTTGTTTCCCCCCAAGAGGAAAGATCGAATCAAAGTAGCGCTCGAACGTCTGCAAGCCATCGACCTAAAAAGGGATGGTTCCTTGGGTTGCGATTCGAGGTTGGCAACTGGCAACTGAGGTCTCCGACCTTTGGATGACCGAGAAGGTGAACAAGAAGCACGGCTTCCCCACGTCCTCGCTGATGCAAGAGGGAAAGGAGTGGCAACAAGGCCGACAAGCGCTTCAGAAGGAGCGGGGCCAGGAATGTGTCAGGGTTACTGAGTCATCAAGGTGCAAAACGGGCAAACCGTGGCATGCCCAGACAAATAAGCGCAATTCTCCCTTGCTGTGATGCAAAGAGAATGATCATGTCCCATCAAGTGCGCCGCTTGCTCTAGAGCACGGGCTTGTGGGAATGGCGCAAAGCATGGAGAACATTGTTTGTGAAGGTCATCCTGTGTATACAATTGCTGGTCACAACCGCTTTGACTTGCCCCAGCTTAAGCTTGACATGTTCAATGTTCGCGTTTGCTTCTTCACTGCCCAAAAGCACCATTAAAAAACAAGGGGGTCGTCAATTTAGGGGCGACATCAGTGCCACCAGCAAATGTCCCTACAGGACATTTTTTCCGTGGCCTCGGCCACGTCCTATTGCGAGCCTGTCACAGACGCAGCTCAGCAGGTCATGGATGGCCTTAACATGAAGTTGGCCAAGGACGAGGTGGGTCTTTCGGACAAGCGCAGCTGCCATTCGGGAAACCACCGGTCTTCAACCCCAGCCCAACTTGTCAGGGCAAGTTTGTTGTCATTTGAATATAAGCCCGCTGCAGCTGGAAGTGGCTCATTCGGGCGTGGGGGGATGCTGTGTGAACTGCCGATTCCCTGTGCAAACAAGTCACAAGGCTGCGATGAGTCGCAGTTTGGTGAGCTCTCGTGTCCGGAGCATGATAAAATTCAGGTGAATGTACTGCAACTCTGTTCGCCACTCCTTCCCCATTTGGGTGTGTCACTTTTGGGCGTTCCTCCCCCCCCCAAAGAAAACAAAAACGGGTTTCCTTTGGCCGCAATTGAAACCCATCCCCAAAACCTCAAAATGACGCTGTCAGGGGGTGGACTTTGATGGTGTCATGGTCGACGCGGTGGCGGACGTCTTTACTGCGGCGGTGCTGGGCAAGCCCTTGGGCTTCTCCACAGGCCTGGCTACGAAACGAGCGACCTGCAGGTACCCAAAGAGACTAAAATAGGTACCCAAAAATGAGCAATCCCTTGGTCTTCTCCATGTGGCCATGGTTCAAAACCAATTGTCTTATTTTGGGATAGGTGCACCACCCATTTTAGTCTATTTTAGTGGGGATTGGGATGTTCACTGGGGGTACGGTATTTTGACCCATGGCCAAATAGGTACCCAAAAGTGGGCAGGCCCTTGGTCTTCTCCATGTCATCCACTTTTTATCTCCCAAGGAGTTTTTGGTTTGAGGCTTGGTACCCACGCTTTGGGTGGGTACAAGGGCAGTAAAAGGGACGACTCCCGAAATATTTAATACTTCCTTTGTATGAGGCAAACCCAAAGGGCCATAGGGCTGTCAGTTCTCATGGTCGCCTTGGCCTAGGTCCCCCAGTAGTGCCCTGTTACCCTTTCTTTTTTTGGGGCAGGGTTCCCCTGCTAAAGAAGACCGAACAAGTTCCGGTACCCTTCTAACCTCTCCAATCTGGCGGACCTAGTGACTGTCTCCCGAGAGGTTCGGGGGGCCCAACGCCAGGCGCTGCCACGGAGGCCCAGCGGCGCTGGGCCAGGGCGGGGATGCGCTCCATCGAGCTCACGGCCACCATGATGTTTCAGCCTCATATGAAGCGCCTGGGCACGGCCGTGGTTGTTGGGACACATTTTTTCGCATTTTTGATCCCCCATTCCAGGTCCCCCACCCCTTATGAGTAGGGGATCATTTTTGCTTGTTGTGGTTTAGTGGTTGAAATCCAAATCCGCTGAACTGCCAAGAATGGAATGTTTGCTCCCCTTCCAAACGTCAGCCCAGTGGGCAGCACGGCAACGGACGCCTGGGCAGCTCTTGCGACGGGGGGGTCTCCTTTTCCCATTTCTGGGTTTTAGTTTGTTTCGGGGTCAAAAGTGGCTGGTAGCAACTGTTGCGGGCCACGAGCTGTAAAGCCCATGGCCTTCACATCTCTAGCCCCCAGTGTTTTCAGGGCAAGGCTTTCAACCATGGCCTCAGTTGTTCGGTGGACCCGTTTTCCTCCTTTTTTTGGTGGCTGCCCCACTAAAAATTGTCTTCCCCAAAAAGGGTTCCCTTTTTTTCCCAGGGTCACTGAACAACTGAGTGGCCTTTTGGAAGGAAGAAACAAGAGCTGAAACATGTTGAACACTGCGCAGGCTCCCTCGCACGAACTGATCTTTTGCTCAGAACGAGCGGATAGAGCAAGGGTTGGAGACATAATTTTGTGCACATTGAGAGTGTGGAATGGGCGATGCGAAGCAAACAAGAGAGTGTTTGAGCAATGATGCTTCAAGAGCTACGAGCAAGTAAGTGCCTTGGGGAATGGTTGTTGGCTTCTATGAGCAGTAACCTATGGCTCGGTAGAGACACCCTTAGTCATTCGCATTTCTTTGGAACTTTGAGTACGGCGGTTTCAAGGGGGAGCCAGCTTTGCGGTCAGTTTGGCTTGTCGTCAACATGCTGCACCTTTATTTGAAGTCTGCAAGTTTACTGCCGTCGTGCAAACAACTCGTGCGACTGCCCATGCATGGGCCCAACATGTTCAATGCTCAGTCCACTGCAGTTAAGCATGTGACACAATGTGGTTGTGTCACTTTTTCATTTTTGGACAGTACCCTGAAGGGAATCCACAACCCAGAGATTCCAAGTACCTTCTAAGGAGGTACTGGAGGACATCTTTTCATTTCCCAAAAGCCATCATGAGGTACCAAGAAACCCCCTGGCAAAGGAAGCCATCCGATCAGATCCCTTGGCACGGATTGGCATCCCAGGATCTGGCCAGAGGCCTTCCAACCTTACCGCGAGTACGAGGAGAGCTCCAGCACCAGCCGGCACGTCGTGTTGTAAATCCGCCATTTTGGGAGATCCCCAAGTGCAGGAGTCCTATTTTTGAGGTCAGATCCATTTTTTGGATCCCAAATTTCAGGAGCGCCCTTCTTTTTGCGTCAGATTAGCAAGTCCTACATCGCGCAGAGAACCATCGCATTGATTCTACAGATGCGTGTCTTTGTGCGCTGGCGATGGTGCACGAATGAGTTTTGCACCCCGTGCCGGCAGCTTATGCGAGTTCCGCAGGTCTAGCAGGGCGGCACAAACACGTGGATTTGGCTGGGATCCGTGCAGTGCAGCATGGATGGCAGTTGGAGTGTGAAGGCGTTTTGCTTACTCAACGCGATTCGAAGCGGTCTTTTTTTCCATTGCATGGGGAGGCAGGTTGCTGCAGACTCGCCGTTCTTGCCATGCTTGCAGCCATTTCCGCAACAGCAGTAGCGGCAGAGGACAAGCAAAGATGCGGGCGCGAGTGAGTCCCGAAATGTTTGCCAAAAATACGTAATGCTTTCGAACATGGCGCTTTCCAACGCCTCCGCATCTTATAAGGAACTGCGATTGGGTGGCTTCAATTTTGGCCAAGGAAGAAGGCATGGCCGCAAATTCAAGCCCTACTTTGGACCTGGCGCTCTGTGTTTCGCTCCTTAAGGTTTTCCCTTAAGCTGAGGGCGGCAGCCGAATAAGGTTTGTAGCCATAGGGAAGCGATTGGCAGATGCAACAGTCCTTTGAGAGGAAACGCGCACGATATGTGCGATGAGTTGCTGTGAACCCGCCTGGAGGCTTAACAAGGTCGGCCCCAAAGGATCGTGGGAATTCATGATTGTTTTGTTCGCGGGTCTGCAGTTGTTGTTCGCTTAGCATTACACTCGCTTTGGCGGCCTAAGAAGTTGCATGTTTCGGCCCGGACTTGTAAGCGTGGTTGTCGTATGGGGTCTAAGGGCTGGATTATTTGGCATGAGCCCTAAACTAATATGGCTTTTGGTGGCTTTGGTAGGGTATGGAACCCCTCACTACATGTCTCGCAGCTTTAAGGGCCGTGCACCTGCTCCACCTGGCTCCAGGAGCTTATGGGGGACATGGTGCGGACCACTACGCAGCTGGTAGAGGAAACCGGGGAAAAAGAGGAAAGACAAGTCCGATGCGCGCACAGGAAGCAGACTGGTGCAAATGTTTTGGCACCGAAGTCTGGCGGGGCTTCGACGCTTTTCAACCCGAAAGTGTAGCGAAGGGTTTTTCTTGTAAAATCGGTTTGGGAGTTTGCGCAAGTGATGTTGCAGAGAGATTGCGCCGAGATCTCGGACTCATGTGGCAGAGAGAGTGCGGAGCGAGACGCAGATCGAAGAAAGTCATTGAGAGATTCCAAGCTAATTCTTTATTTTCCAGCAGAAGAGCAGCAGAAGCAGGGTGGCAGAAACTCCCTTGATTTTCCAGGAGACCATCGAAAGCTACAAGGACTTCAGCGGCCCAGAGGATGAGTTGCCCTATGTGGTGCGGGTGGCCAGACGCGGGGAGCTTCCCAGCGAGACCTTAGCCCATGAACCACGGCAGTTGGCGTTCGCCGGTTTCATTTTTGGTCAACCAGCAGGACAATGAACTCGGTTGCTTCAAAGCGGAGCTGTGAACTGTCTTGTTTTCCAATTTCGGTCCACCTCTCAAGCTCTTGCTTCATGTCTGGTTGCCATATATTGCCAATTTGTAAAGACACGAAGGTTCAATGGGCAATACCCACCTCGCCTTCTTGATTTGCCATTTGGCAACGGTTGGGAAAGGTCCCAGCTGAGCACATCTGAGCACTTTTGTATCCGGGTCCTCTGGGGTGAGTGAAGCTGATGAAGACGTGCTCCAAGAGACTCACGCATCATGTAAAAGGGCCCGGGGAGCAAAAACCGTTGTGGAAAAGGGCTAAGAAAGCCTGGCAGATTCAAGAAAGCCTGATTTTGACTTTCTGAAGGCCTTCGGCCGTGCAAATGCCGAATGCAGGGCGAATTTCAAAGGTTAGCGAGTATGGAAAGATAGGAGTGGTCCAGGCACTCCAGGCGTTCAGAGATATGTGGTGTCACAAACAACATTGTGAAGTGTCGTTCTCGGAAGATGTTGTAAATGGCTGAGCAACTGATTTATTCAATGCTAACTCTCAAACATCATGTGCTGTGATTGGTTGGCCTGACCGCATCATGGCAACCGTTTGCATGAACATTCGACTTGCTTTGGTTTTAGCCACTGGTCAACCAGCAGCTTCAATCGTTAACCACCCTTACAGTGTTGCCGAACCCGGAAAATCAAGTCGGCATCACCGGCGTGCCAAGGAAGTGCAGGCCATTGTTGTGGCGGGGCTGGACACCACCTACCATGTCCTTCTCTGGAACATGCTGAACCTCGCCCAGTTTCCGCACGCGCAGGACGGATTTTTCTTGGCTCAGGAGGGAAGCCGCTATAAAGATCTGGGCGCGGGCCTCGCAGGCGTAAGAGGAAGAGACATGAGAAGGTCCCTCAGTACTACCCCCTTCTAACGCTTGTGTTGGGGAGGGTCCCTCTACTAACATAGACCACAGAACAAAAAAGTTGGTACCCTTATTCTAACCTCTCCATGAGAGGACCTAGATAAAAAAAAAGGCAGGTGCCTGCAAGCAAGACAGCAATGACGAGGGTTTTTGCTTTGCTTTCCAGCGCCTGGCCCTTCAGGTAGCATACCTGAGTTATATAGATTTCTCTTCACGACACATGCCAACCCTACCGTACTACCCTGGCATTTCTCGTTGTAAATGTGCTGCGGGAAAAGGACGTTTCCGGGCTTGGCTTTTTGGCTTTACACCAACAATGTGCTTCAGATCCAATACGGGGGCTGTACATAGAAGGACATGTTGTAAAAAATGTGCTTTGGAAATCGCGAGCCTACAAGGTGGTTGCAAGAAGGGATCCGATTGGCTTGCACGGCAACGAGCGCGAAGCACGGGGGTTGTGCGCAAATTCCCTTGACATTGCCTGCACATCATGGTTAGCTCCAAGTTCCTGATTTCGAAATTATTTGGCTACTGAAGCTTTGACGCTGCATCTACTCAGGAGATTCTTGGAATCCAAGATTTGGATGTCCTTCCAAGGACCAAGGTTCCCAACATCTGTCCTTTTAAAGCCATCCAAAAAGAGGTACCCAATTTTGAGACACACCCCAACCGGGAATCCATTTGGGTCCCTTCGCGTCCCAAGACTCTTTCCCTTTCGCTAGGAGGCCCTCCGTGAAGAGGTGTTTCGTGTCTTGGGCCCTTCTGCGCACTTCACCCGCGACAAGCTGTCGGAGATGCCATATTTGAAGGCCGGGCGTTTTTCTGGGGGAGATATGGCTGTGGGTCAAAACCAATGGTACCATTTTGGGGTAGGTGAATTCACCACCCATCTTAGTCTATTTTAGTGGGAATTGAATCGGATGTTCACTGGGGGGTAACCGATTTGGATTTTGACCCATGGCCATATGGGAAAATAGAGGGAAACACCTAGTGTAGCCTCCCTCTTTCAGGGGTCCCTGCCGTTCAAGTCGATTTTTTCGGGGAAGAGGTTCTAAGATTTGAGGCGGGCAGGCGTGGACCCACAGCCATGAGCCAGCTTTAAAGAAGAAACAACTGGCTGGAACAAGGTGGGGTCAAGAGATATGAGGCAAAAACACCAAGAAATGAGGCAAAAAAACGCAGCCAGATGCGAGCTCGTACTTGTTTACCGAGAGAGCCAGGCACAAAGATTTCCCAACAAACACAGCCAGGTGACGACCTACTTTTGCCACCCCCATTTTCTTGCTGGGGTCACGACGGAGAGAGCCAGGCACAAAGATGACGCTATGCCCTTGTGTCATCTTCAATTGTTTCAAACCATTGGGGCAAGAGAGGCGGCCGAGCCAAATGCAAAGGTGCTTGGGAAGACTGGTTTCGTGGTAAACAACCAGTGTTTTTGCTCTTTGCCAATCCACTCACTCGAGAAGCGTGCAGCCTTGGACCCGGACATCGCATGTTGCGCCGCGGGTCAGCAAATCGGAGCAAAATGGAGCCTGGGGAAAGGTTGGGTCAGGCCTAGCTTATTGCCTACCCTGACTGAGGTTTTCTGTAGAGCTATATAATATTATATAATAATGCATAATAATATGTACACAATATGCATAGCCTTTGTGGGGTGCAGAAATATGATGCAGAATCCAAACATTACAACATGTTCTGTGCGCAGAGCATGCTGAGACCGTAGGACTTGTTTCGGTCGATGGGATCTGTGAAAACAGAAAACCTGAGGCGCTGATGCGGGAGACCCACCGCTTCAGCCACCCGGCCTCGCTGTTCACTTACCGCTTTCTGGACGAAGATGTGGCGCTCTGTGGCTACAACGTGCCAGCAGGCCCAGGGAGCGCATGCATCCTAACGGCATGGCAAGCGGAGAGCTTGTTGGTTCATGTGACGATGCAACTCATGGAGCTCATTGCTCAACCCCAGTTTATTAACAGGGGGTGTTCCAATTGAAAAGTAACCTGATTCCAACCACTAGACCTCCTATTTAGAAACTGGGGCTGATTAACATTGCGGTCAAAACGCACTTGTAGCCCCCCAAACCGAAATTCATCGCGCAATTGTATGGGTATACAGTAACTACATCCAGATCTTATCCTGCGCCGAGGGACGCGGATCATGATGATGTCAGAGGGGCTGCAGAGTGACCCGGCGCTGGTGGAGGATCCCGAGAAGTTCCGACCAGAACGCTTCCTGCCAGAGGCGGGCTTGCAGGAAGGGGATGTTGGAACTTCTGCAGGAAATCCTGCAGGATAATCTGCAGGAAATGACCACAAACGCCTTTCTGCACATTTGTTTTTCAAAAAACAAAACGTGGTGTACAGGGAGCAAAGTCCACATCCTGTGTTTTTCTTAATGTTCAATCTTTCCCTGGGCCTTTCAAGTATACAATCTGTATGATCCTCCCTTTGGCCTATTTTGAAGTGGCAGATTAGGATTGACCAAGTCTCTACTTTCAGCCAAGACATACGCAGTGTGGGGCCAACCAATTCTTTTAACGTGTTGAAGCCATTGATTTAAAAACAACCACTCACTTTCTGAGTTCCTGGAAATTAGTCCCGTTTTGGGTTTGGACCAGTTTAGTGATAAATGCAAGCAAATCCAGGATTTGTTGTTGGCCAATCCACTTGCTCGGAACCAAAACATGCTTCCGGGGCTTGTTGAAGCATGGCGAAATCCAGCAGCCATTTCGGAGGCGGTTGAGGCGCGCAAGACCGACCCCTTGAAGTCCTTGATAGAGCCTCGGGCTGCACGTAGAAGCAGATGGGTTCGGGCGGCGGGGGGGGAGGGGAAAAGGTGCATTTCTCATTTGCCCGGGTTTCGGCGTTCCGAGAAAATCGCGGGGCTCCAAAAACAAGACAATCCACCATGTGTAGATGGAGTCTCCATGACCCTTAAAAAATGGGGTCATTACCCAAAGTTAAGGGGTCATGGACCCATTTGTTAAGGGTCATGGAGACTCCAGGTAGATGGCAGGGAACATGACAGGGGATGCCCAACAGGGCTGCAGGGAGCATGACCGGGAAACCGATTCGAAGCGTGTACGATGTTGCCACACCAAACCGGCAAGCAAACCGGCAAGACTACTCACGCGGAGGTTAAGAATGGTTTGAACGAATCTTCGTACTCGAGGCCGTTGCTGTTCTGGCACAGCTCACTTCGGGCGAAGGATGTTTGGCCGGGTCTCAGGAAAAGCATTGCATCCCAGCAACCAACGAGAAAAAGTGAGGTCTGCAGCATGCATGTTTCCTTGGGCACGGTTGAAACATCATCCAAGGGCGGGCCCCTTTTAAGCAGATGGCGGGGAGCAGTGGGCATGCCGTCCAAGCACGAGTATATACTGCCATGCCACACCTTGAACCTCCAACCTCCTGCGAGGATACCGAGCACCCTGAACGAATCCAAGCACGATACTGCCTAGGTCGCCCAGTGCCCTTTCTCACCCCCCTTCTTTTTGGGGGGGTTTGGGTTCCCTACTAAAAAATAGACCCAAAAACGGACGAACATGAAAACCCTCGGGCGCCAACCCAGCCCAAGCTCTCGAGAGGACCCAGCTGCCATTCCATCCCTTGAAGGGCCATGGGCCTAGCATGTTCGACAAATATCACCGTTGGTTGGTTGGATTTCCAGGCTCAAATGTGTCTTGCGGTGGAAAAAATGGGAGAGCAGCTCGTTCTCTGTGTTTTTTCAGATGGCTCTGGGTCAAAACCACCCAGAGCCTATTTTGTTACTGGAACCTGACCGATTTGGCCTTTGGTTCATGGGATGGCCAAGTTGGCTCGGGCTGCCGGGGCCGCCGGCCAGGGCCCCATGCCTCGACCTGAGGACCACAAGCTCCTGGGCACGCCCTTCAGCTTCGGGGCGCGGATGTGCCTGGGGGCGCGGCTGGCGGACATGGAGATCATGACGCTGCTGGCGAAGTTCACCGCCTGCTTCGACGTCCAGCTGGCGCCCAACCAGCGCCTCGGGCACGAGGGCCAAGGTTGCCAAGGTTGCCAGCGAGTGGGACGAGTTGCGGGGTTATGGGGTGCCACTAAGAAAGAGGGGGAGGGGGAGGAGGGGAGGAGGGGGAGGAGGGAGGAGGGAGGGGGAGGAGGGGGAGGAGGGGAGGGGGGAGGAGGGGGAGGAGGGGGAGGGGAGGAGGAGGGGGGGAGGGGGGAGGAGGAGGGGGAGGAGGGGGGAGGAGGGGGAGGAGGGGGGAGGAGGGGGGAGGAGGGGGGAGGAGGGGAGGGGGCAAGGAGCCCAAGTAAGCCTTTCTTAGGCCCTTCATAAGCCCCCCTCGGGGGAACAAAGTATGGAACACTCTCAAAAGGCTTTTGGCAGTAGCAACGACGGCCATGGCGTAGTGGCCTAGCAGAACTTCAAAGAGGAAGAAGTTGAGTGGTTTGAAGGCCATTTCACCAAACCACCAATCCAAGAAAATCGCCAAACAACGAGGAAAGCTGAATGGTTGGGTTCCCCTCAAAGTGATGAAGTCACGAGAAATTGCCCATTGCACAGACAAGAACTTGGTCTAAATTGGTGGTTTGGGGGCTGCATGTCTGGTTTCACCAGGACCTGGGAAAAGGTCGCCAAGACTATGGCAGCACCGGAACCCTCACCCAAGGCCGGCCGTCAGAGTGAGGTGAGAGTCGGGTTGAAGAAATTGCGAGCGGCGCGTTTGGTGAGAAATTGCCATGGGTGTTGGGCTTGGGGAGGATGGTCGGGATTGGGATTAATCGGTAGAGGGGATTCACTCACTTCCCTGAGTTCATGTTGCCACCTTTTGGGCTTGGACCATGTGGTAAATGCAATGTTCCAGGACCTGTTTTAGGCCAATCCACTCGGGAAGTGAGAAGTACCGTGGATGCTGGGAATCCAAGTTTCGCGCCACCGTTCACTCTTCAAGTACCAACAAACAAGGGTTTTTTGAGAACGGATTGCGTCACAGGCGGACCTGCAAACTTTTACCCGAAGGGGGGTCCCCTCTCCACAAAGACACACACACATGAAGCGGAATCTGAAGATCTGATGTTCCAACCTCAGATGCGGACCAAGTCCAGAGAATTGTCGCAATGTGATTTGCAGGAATGAGTTGGAACCGCAAACTGAAGCATTTCCTGTGGGAATGCAGGGTCCATTCTCAAAACCCCTCGTTTGTTGCTATGCATGGTGAATCACACGGCATGCAGACTTTCGAAAGTGGAGCAGGGAAGCCAACATGGGGCAAGGACCGCCAGATCCTTGTTTCTGAGGGAGCTTCAGAGCCGATGATCAAAACGGTGGCGGGGGACGGATGTTTGAACAATCATGCTGACCCCTATTTGATGATACGCCCCCCCCCCCTTACTGTTAAGGGGGCTCCCTCTGAAGAAAGGATTCCCCACTAAAAGGGACCACTCTTAATAAAAGGGGGATCATAGGTGTCCGTTTTAGCTTAATTTTAGGTTTCTTTTTTTCTCTTTTTTTTGTTAAATAGATGGCACTGGTTTAGATGGGGTTTGTTCCATTTCCCAGGGAACCCCGAATCCTTTTTTGACCAACAGGCCATGCGGGGGATCTTTTTCTCGGGGAAGCCATCGTCTCCGCCAGGTGATCTTTCGAGCCCGTTGAGCGCGTGCAGCTCGGATCGATCCGGATCGATCCGCGATCCGATCAAGCGGTGCTCGTGAAATTCTGGAAAGCGGCTCTCAGGAAAGGTCAAACATGGTCAAACCCAAAGGGCGGCCCAAAACGTGTTTTTTCCCCCAAATCTCAGGAAAGGTCGAAACGTGTTTTGTTTTGTGTTTCTTTTTTTTTCTTTTGCATGGCCGGTCTTTGGTGTGACCCGGCCCCAACGTGTCCAAACTTCTTCTTCTTCCTGCATGGCCGGTCTTTGACCCCAAAGTGTCCTTGCTTTGGACACTTCGTGGCTTCTCCACAAAAGGTGTGATGGACCTTTGGCTTGGGGCTTGGAGCTGCTATGCTGAGTGGATCTTGGGATGTCAGACACGGCACTGGTCGTTCCAATGCAAAAGGCCTGTTTGGGCCAGGAGTTTTGTGTCCGAACCTCTCCCTGGCTCGTTGTCCCAAAATCACCCGTTCAGTTGGCAAGATTCAAAGCTTCCCAACTAAATTCGCCCAATCATTCTTCTGCCCATATCGCGGGGTAAATCGAGCTCGGTCGGTCTTTTGGGTTTGGGTTGGGGAAGTGGGACCGGTGAGGGCCGAGACAAATGAAAAGGGTTTGGAATGGTCTCACTTCCCGAGTTCCTGGACTTACTTTTCGGGTGAGTATTTGAGTGGCAAACAACAAGTTTGGACTTTTGTTTGGGCAATCTGTGCAGAAAGTGAGCAATACACATTGTGATGATGTTTGTGTTTTAAGTATTTCCCTAGGTTTTGAATGGATCCCACGGCTTTGAACCGAACAGATGGGCTCCCCTTCATGGTGGCCAGTTCAATTTTTTGACGAGCACAGCTCGGTTTGTTGTTTGGCTCGAATGGACATGGAGAGGGCATGGAGACCGACATGTTCCTCAGATGGCACACGGGAAATCATTCAACGCATGAAGGAGTGCCACGTTGTTCCCCAGTGAGGCACGGGGGTTATGCTTCCTAGTTGTGTGGAACTCCTGGCAGGTGCGTTGGAGCAGCGTGTGTGTTTTCCATGGTCACTTGGACAAGATCCCCCTTGACTTGATTAATTGTGTGATTGGGGACAGGAATCTTTGTCAAAATAGAAAAGCTCTCCCCATCCCCCTGCCCCTCTCCCTGCTGTAGTCTCGCGCTTCTTTGTGTGTTTTGCTTGGCGGGTTTTCCGGTTCGAGCTATTTTCCTACCGAACGGGTCACCCTCTTTGAGTTGCTTCAAATGGGTGTGTCTTTTTTCGGCCCCCCACCCAAACCTCAAAATGGTTGTGCTCCTGTTGGTTTCGTTTGAAAAACAACGAAAAAAACAGGAGCCCCCGCAAAAAAGACACACTCAAACAGGGCAGTGGGGAATGACCACTTTTGTGCCACAACAGAAAGGGCTTCCCAAAGACTAATTTGATCATAGAAACGGGGAATCACAGAAGTGGTTTGATAAACCTCTTGATCCACAACCCTGCACTCAAATGATGCCCGGAACTGAGGTGAGGCCGTACCTCTCACAACCTGGTTCCCCTTAATTCGCCAGCCAGGGCGTCTTTGCGGGAGCCATGCGGTATGCGGCTGGAGTTTGGTTGCCCTGCCCTCGAGAGCCCTCTATTTCAAGTGGCTTGGACGAAAAGAAATGATTGCCCTGCATGCCAGCAAACCTTTGCCTAACTTTCTTGCATGTTGTGTCAACACGGATCCCATTCTTAAATGAACCACAGAAGGCAACTGACCCCGTTCAGCACGTTGTTTTGGAGCATGTCAAGTAACGCGTGAGTCACGTGTCGATGAATTCACAGAGGTGTTTGCCAAGCTAAATCTTGGGGATGAAGAGCATCCAACAGCTGGCTTGTGTTGCGCGTCCGGATCGGATGCTCAGCATGTGCCCAGCCATCGCCCTGCTCGCCTTTTTTTCGGACGGCCAGGGCGGATGTGGAAATCCCAATCCTCCAGTGGTGCCCGTTGCTCTCTTCCATTGGAAGCCGAAGCCAGGAGCGTCTGGGTAGGAGGCTCAGAAGCCGGAGCCCTTTGAACTTAAACCCCCAAACAACAGTTCCCTTTGCTGAGATCCACTGGGGGTTTGGGCCATAGATTTTGCACCAGAGACTTGCCAAAGCGAGTTCTGTGCCAGCTCGCTTTCAAAGCACGCGGCAAATCACAACAATCAGCCTAGCGTGCTTTGAGCCATCGTCGTGCTCAGCATTTTTCGTCGCGCACACCGGCTGCCGATCAGCGCGCAAACCCGCACGGTTCCAAAGACCGCGGAGATGCAGGGATTGTTCAAGGGCTGCTTTGAAGGTGTTCTCAAAAACACCTGTTGCAGGGGGCCTTTTTTTTGTACCTCAAGGGATGGCTTGTATTTGGTCCTCCTGTAAAAAAACCTGAAACCAGCAGGACCGCCAACAGGGGCGAGGCCTTGTATTTCCCCATTTGCCTTTTTGGGGTGGCCAGTGATTAGAAACCCATGAGTCATGTTAAAAGGCTGCTCTCCTGAGAGCCTGGTAGGATCGGAACAAGTGGGCAAGTTTGGCAGGCCCCATTCCGACTTTGTCGCCCCTCGATGGGAGTTCCAGCTACTCGGCCGAAGCACACTTGGTTTGGGCGGGTGCCAAACACGACAAGCCCATGTTCTCAATACCACGATTTCGTCAAGCTGACTAAACCATGAGGGAATTGTCCCAACAGCAAACCCAAACCACAAACCACTGTGCTGCAAATCGCAGGACGTTTTTTGCTTTGCTGCCATGATTTGCGAAGTGTCCGTAGCTTTGGTCGATGGTGGGCACGAACTCCTGCTGCGACTGGGGCAGCTGCTTTTTTCGGGAGGTGCACTAACTTGCTACTTCACATACATTTGGGTATCATATTTGCAAGGCTGTCCCTTGATTTGTTCAAAGTTGGTCTCAACAACGAACCCCAAGAAAATTGTTTAAGTTTCCAAGAGGAAACCAAACAGGGCATGGCTATTTCTGTTTCTTGTCCAGACCCAGCATCACGCAATAGTTTCATGACGACGTAGTGGCAAACATGTATCCCGCAATGCCCTGATTGACTGTCAGCAGATTCATCGTTTCGTGGAATTGATGGAGTTAGTGGCAACATTGACTTGGCCATGAAACTAGAGTGGAAGCCCACTTGCCCTTCCGATGCACCCGAATTCTTTCGGGGCAAAGGATTCAAAGACATGAATGCAGCAGGGTCAAACTGTTAGTTTAAGCTTTAGGTCGGGATGGTCGTGAACCCCTTGATTGCAAGGGTCTGCAGGGTGCCATGGTCATCCCACAAAAGAAGACTAGGCCATTCTGGGCATATCCGCGCCCCTCGAGAAGGCCCATGCCCCTCATTTCGAGGGTTCTCGTTGGTTTGCCTTTGCATCATTCTCGCTTGGGCGGGTATTTGTTTTTCCTTGAGAAAACAGGGGCCTCTCAAGTCGGTCGTTGGCTTCACCTTTCGTAAGAGGAAATCCCCTTTGTTTTGGGTAAGGACCCCATTTTTTAAGGGTCATGGAGACTCTAGGAACGTTTCCTTTCTCACCCCAGTGCAAATGTCACCTTGGGGCTCTTGGGTAGAAAGCCCTTAGGTTTCTTGTCACGGGAATTCCGGACCCAACCCCTGGTTGAGTAGTATAGGGGAGTCGGGGTTCATCACTTTTGGCGGGGGACACACCCTCTTTTCGTAGGATGGGTTGTTGAATCCGGAGCAGGGTTATGGGAGCAAGGGGTGTATATATCCCCACTTCTGTGATACAAGTGAATCCCCTCTCAAAAAAGGGGGATGAGTCTTTGGGAAGCCCTTTTTGTTGTATCACAGTCAATTCCATTTCCACCACAGCCCTCATCCGGAGTCTCAAAAAAGACGGCCAGTCTCGACGCCTCAAACTCAAGCGCCGCTCGCAGGTCCGCTCGCTCACCCCGGGCTGCGCGGAGATCTATTTGACTGGGCGAAGGGAAAAAATGCCAAGCGCTTGGGGCAAGACGCGACGGGATTCTCTCAAACGGGGCTCTGCAGATGTCCCTGGACGGGTCTGGGCTGATCGATTTTCCCTTATGGATTTGTTTCGGTTGATCCAAGGCTCCAAAACGCGCGTTGATCACTTGTGCTTATATAAATTGAGAGGCCCTGGGCTTCTTTTTGCGAGGCAGGACCCGCTGGTGTAACAGAAACGACCTACAGTTGAATCATAGGTCATCTATCGAGAGCACACAGGATGGAACATTCAAGCAAGGGACGGATATGGTTTGCTGCCATTGACTTGTGTTCCGCGCCCAGCACTTGAATGTGTGGTGCAAGGGTTTTGCCACCTGTAGGACTTTGATTTGGCGGAAAGCAGGGACATGAATCCATGGCGGGGCTTTTCTTGGTGCAAAGCTGTCAGCTTCTCATGGTAATCTTTCCATGTGCGTGTGTTTGCACGAAACGGGTTCACGGATTGGGGGGATCAGTGAGAGTAGGACATGTCCTAGACGTCCTAACTTGAAGTGAACCCTAGGCTACTAGGCTCCAGGCATTTAAATTGGCGCTGCCTCGTATAATTATACAGCTACGCAGACGCGTATCTATATCGCAGCTTTGCAGTTGCAACCCATGCAAATTTGGAAGTTATCCTGAAGCAAAGGATGGGGTTCATCTCAAGCCATGTACCGACTTGAGCTTGAACCACTGATCTGTTCAAACATGTTCAAGCAAGAGCTTCCGTTTTGCGTCGAATGGATGAGCAAATGTTTGCAAGCATCGCCTGTTCAGGCCATGTCACCTTGGCTTCATGTTAGTCTGGCTGTGGGGAACTCTGACATCCGCCGCTTTGGTGGCTGATGTCTTTGAAACCACCTGTGAGGATCAGGGGAGAAACAATTCCTTTGGACATGTTATCTCTTTGTTTAGCGAGCTTGATTCGGGGATACGGGGGGCAAAACCCTCCATATGAAACGGATTCAACAACTGCGGATTTGTGAATTGGGTTTGTCCCATCTAAGAGCCAAGGGACCCCGCCCCCACCCCATGCGTGAAGGTTGTTTTTCAGCTGCTGCAATGGCCGGGATGAGGTCCGTGAAACATCGTTGCATTTTCTATTTGCGCCGAGATTGACGGGGTGTTTTCTGGTGTTGGTGCGGCCAAACCTCGCTTCGCGAACCTTTCAAGGGTGACTCACATCCATGCCGAAGCGGCCTAAAGCTTGAGACAGATCCATGTCAACCAGCAGCCGGATGTTCGCTGCTCCATGTGGGGCGGTTGAAACTCCCACACAAATCGCCCTTTTTACCTTTTCACCTCCCGTCCAGTCGAATCAGTTTTTCACCCCAAGCTTCACCCCTTGCGACTTCTGCTCGGAAGAAAGTTCCAATCCGCTTGAAGCCCATGGCGCTGCAGCTGCGAGTGGTCACCTTAAAGGGCAAGAGCCTCCAGTGCCTCGGCGAAGATCGAGGTCGGCGCCTTTTGGGGGAACCCGACCTTGCGAGCGGGTTTTCGGGCCCCAAGGAAGCTTTAGGGTACCGACCTTGCGAGTGGGGTTCTGGGGCCCCAAGGCCGAAGGCCCCGGCGTGTTTTTCATTTGGAGACCGCCCGGCTTTTTTGATCCCCAGGGCCATTTTCCTAGGGGGAGCGGGTTTCCCGTTAAAACCGACAAGCAAAGCGGGGGTGCCGTTTCTTGCGGGGTGCCGTTTCTGTCTTCCCAGGGCCGTCCTGTTGGCCCAAAACAGCCAGAAAATCGTCGTGCCTTCCAACCGTTTCACAAAAATGAGACCTCCAGTTTGTTTGATCAAAGCCGAGGAAACCAGGGGTTGGAGAAGTTGGTTGAGTTAGAGTTAAGCCAAGTATAGCTTTGGCTCGGCTTAAGCCTTGATATCAAGGTTCACTGAAACTAAGCATTTGGGGATGCTGAAACAGCTGAGGTCCAGGTTGTCGTGGGGAGAGCGCAAAGTGAGATACGGGCGGTCCCAGAAACCAAGTTTCCGCATTGGACGTGGGAAGCTTGGTGAGTACCCTCAATTTAGTGATCCTGACTTTCCTTTTAGGGCTAAAAGGTTGTTTGTGTTGGTTCAGTTCTTTTTTCGTCCTTTTTTCCAATTTTAAAGGGGGGAGGCGGGGGCGAAACACGGTCAGCTTGTTGCTGTACCTTTTGGGTTGCACAGATCTGACCTGACCCTTAGGTTGGGCGCAAGCCCGGCCGAGACTGCCGCCAGCCTACTGGCGCGGGTGAAAAGCGCGGAGGTTGGGATCTCGAGGAGATGGCTGCCATACTCAGCTTCCAAGTTCGTGGTTTTGGACGTCCAAACCTACCTGGAGTCTCCGTCTGACCATGGTTGGTCATTCTCCAAATAACGGGGTCAGGGACCCATTCTTAAAGGGTCGTGGAGACTCCAGGTCCCTTTCCCATTTGGTTTCGACAGAAACCAGGGCTCAAATCCTAAACCGCAGGGCTCCAAGCCACAAAGCTTTTAGGGGAAGTTGACATGTGGATGGACGCAACATCCGCTCGCGCGCCACGAAATGAAGACATAGTTGGAACCGTTGCTTGTGGATTTGCGGAGGAATTGAATCATTTTGGGGATTCTAGGTGGTGCGAAATGGATGTCCAGCCACAGGAGCAATGGGATCCGTTGCAGCCTCCATTAGCGACAAGTAGGGCCACTG